AGGTAATTCTTGTAATCTTTCCATGCAGGGAACAACTTCTCAATAATAGTAGTCACTTGAAAAGATTCACTTGGTGGCATCCCTTCAGCATGGATCTCATGTAGGCACTCGGAGCTCTTGAACTTGACCGATCACAATTTTAAAGTCGACCATCTTAAAATTTAGGAAACAGCCTAGCACAAAGGTCTTGACGCCAGCATCCTCAGTTTTGTAATTTCGATTAAGAGACTCTCAGAGCTCCTCTGCTAACTTCTTTTCACTATAGACATTGTACAAGGAATCAGTAAGCCCATTTATGACATAATTTCGACACAATTATTCATAATGTTTTCAAGAATCTATTGCATTGATTACTTGGTTGCTAGTCTCATCCTCCTTCAACAACGACGATTTCATTTGCCCCTTTTTTTGTTCTGAAATACTAAATGGAAAATGTTAATTTTAGAACAGAAAATTATGTTATTTTTATAATTACGAAAGTATACAAATTTTTCAATTGGAAAAATGCAATTTTCCCAAAACTATTTGAAAATTACGCTATTTTCTCAATAACGAAGATATGATCATTTTCAAACACAAATTTATAAAAGTGTTTTGCTTCGTTCAACCAATTAAAACGGCGTTATAGCCAACTTAGTCTTTACACAAATTTCACATTTTTCATTTTCATTAAAATGCATACCTGGTAGTAAACTTAAATTTATTAATTTGCATATAGAATTAGAGAAAGAATCTATGATGCCATAAATTAGAGAAAGAATAAAGGCAGCACAAGACCGACAGAAAATTTATGCAGATGGTAGAAGAAAGGATTTTGAATTTCAAGTGGGAGACAGTTTTCCTAAAAGTAGCACCAATGAAAGGTGTATTGAGATTCGGTAAGAAGGGAAACTTGAGACCACGGTTCGTTGGATCTTTCGAAATTCTTGAAAGGATTGGNCATGATATGCATATAATTCAAGTGTTGATTCAAAAAGGAAAAATGAAAATTCAGGTGTTATTTCAAAGGGCATATAATATTATAAGCCTATGTGTTATTGTGATTACTATCAAATCGTTAGAATGTATTTATATAGATTAGATAATGCGGCAATGATCAAACTACCATATAGACTTGTGATCATCTGTAGTACACATAAATAACATTATTCCTAAGTATATCGATTATATAATTTAGCTAGGAGGTGGATTGCACAAAATATGTCAAATTAGCTCACATTAATTTTGAGCATGGTGCATCCATGGAAGTCCATATATGGAAATTGATTAAATTATAATATAATGCATATTCGGGACGTGATTATAATTGGTCTAAAGTGTAAAATAGATTAAATGAGTGGTAGATAAGTGAACACTACTTATAAGTTTCATAAATTATGTGGATAAAAAATATGTTTAATCTATTATAATTTTGAGGAAAATAACTTGTACGGTTATACTCAATATCCAATTTTTGCAAACACGTGAAACATTTTTCCCTTGTATACTTTGGGGTGGAGTGAGAATCTAAATACATCGAATTGGATATTGAGTAACATAATGGCTATCATTTATTTCTGTGTAATAATACTTATCATTAAATCGTGAAACCACCACTAGGGGCATTGTCAAATGATAGCTCCTTCCCTAAAGCGTAATTAATTAAATTATTAAAGGATACTTTGGCAATAATATGAAGCACCTGCCATCAACTCTAGGTGTAGGAAGTGGGGTGAGCCGTGGGCAGCTCGCCCCACTTGCGAGTCGAGCGGACAGGCTCTTGTCCATGGTAATAAGTGTTGTAATATTTAAATGGATAAACTATTAAGCTGAAATACAAACTTCTGTATTTGTTAACTGCAAGAAAAACAACTTACGAAAACAATTTGTTAACTGCAGTAAAATAACAAAATAAGAAATAGAAATTGCAACAAGAAATAAATTCCCAAACCGAAACCTGTGCGAACACAGTTTCCTTAAAACAGATTCGCCCCCTCACCGTTCGTGCTCGAGGTATAATTTTGGAATATTCTAACGCGCCTTTTGAGTTATAGTCTATAGATGGATCAATTCCTTGTTTGAACTTTTCAGGCTCTGAAAGTATAGAGTCATTGGTTCGTATATCTGTAAAAAAATCTTGGTACAAGGAATGCTCCCCTTAAGAGTTTAACTTTGTTAATAGAAGTAAGTCCAAACCCTTACATGTTGATTTCATTTTTTTTTATAATTAAATGACATGGAATCTTACCTTTATAGTTTTACGCCTGAGGTTCTTGAGCTACTCGTGTTGTGAGAATTCTACTTATAATGGGCTTGAGGTGATCAAGTATTGTATTGTCATCGAAACTCTTGTTATCGTAAATAAAAAAAAAAAAAATTGATAAGATTAATGTTTTTTTGAATAAATTTGCACTTTTTCACCCCCAAGTCTTATTTTAAACTGAAAAACACAATATAAAAGTTTGCACACTACAACATTGTCAACAATAACCAAATGGGAGATGGTCTTTTTCATAACATACACACCACGCATTCATAGATGAACACCAGTTCCATGCTTAATGGGTGAGAAGATAAAGGTCCACCACTTCAGTTATACTAATTGAGAAGACGCCATAGATTTCTGGTGGCGGAACTAATTCAGTAGTTTTCTCATACTCGATAGCCCATTTGGCAACCCCATTACCAGGAGCAATTGTGAACTGAAAAACTTTGTAGAGGATCATAAGATCTCCTTCTATGGCTTTGTAAGTTATGGTTCTTTCTGCATCATTTATTGCTTCAGTCCTCAGTTTAAGCATCTGTGAAATCCCTCCTGCATGCCACATACATACATATAAAATCCTGTCAACCAAATTTCATTCTTTAACAAGAGAAAATATAAACACGTGTTCATCAAGATTAGATGGGATTGAACATAATATGTTAAATTGATGTATCACAACCGGCAATGCGTCGCAACGTTTCTTCTACGTATAAATCTCGAGTGTTTTATATATATTAATAAATATAAGATCATATTTGTGCAGATATACACAATCATTCAATAATTTTATTCTTACCAGCAATAAAATTCCAAACCTTGACACAACCAATTTTACCGTCCTCTCCTTCCAGAACTTGAACACTTTGGAAACTTGCAGGAAATACAGTGAGGAGATCACTCGTGTGGTTTTTGAAGAAATCATAAAACTTATCAGGTGAAGATCTTATTGGAGTGGCTACTTCTAGAACTTTAGACATGGTACCAATAGATATTCTTTTTAAAACCCTGACTAGTGTAAGAAAGATTGTGTTGTGTGGAAATGAAGCTGAATCTTGTGGGTATTTATAATGTGGATTTATCCACAAATTTTTTTAAGTTTATGATTAAATATTGGTAGTTATGTAACTGCTTTGTGTGGATTTCATAAGATGCATTGATTAATTTTAGTCCAAGTTTGTTTTAGCTAAAAAGAAGTTCATAAAAATAAAATTTAACGTAAACAATTAATTTTAAGAACACGTTTTACAGGACCCGCAACTTTAATCAATTTTTTAAACATATATTTCAACATTTTTTATCAAAATCTATTAAAATTTTGATTATTAGCTAAAACACTGATATTGCACAATATTAAGAAGGGGAAAAAATTTGTTCAAAACAAGATTTCTCTCTTTTTCTTCAATATTTGTAATTAATATGCATACTATAATTTCTGAAATCATATTCACTTCCCATGTCCATTAACTCTTATTTTACTGTAAATGTTATTTGATAAGGATACACATATAATATTGCACAACGTTCTAAAAATGTAAAGTGTAGTTCGACAACAAGATCAAACTTCAAGCTTTATGAGATTAAGCGGGTCTAGGAGTAAAAAAGTGTAAAGCGAATTATAGGTCACAACTACTGGTCACATATTATTAGATTAATTGGTCACAAATTATTTTGAGTTTACAAATCAAAAAATTTATACATCACAGTTTATTTCGTTGGTCACAGATTAAAAAAATTATAGGCCACAGGTTCCCTATCGATCACATATTTTCAAATTTATTGGTCACAAATTATCGAATTTTAAGGTTACAGTTTAATGGTTAGTCACAATAAACCAAATAATTGGTAACATACACCAAACACCCCACCCACCCTGATCCCTATCCACCACCAATACTTGATCACA